TTCATTGTATTCAGCTCCAGAATTTCTGTTTGATTCTTTTTTATGATTTCTGTGTCTGTGTTAAACTTAATGTTTGTTTGCATATTGCTTTCCTGATTTCACTGAATTTTCTTCCTTTGTGTTCTTATAGCACACTGAGGTTCCTTAAAAAAACTATTTTGAATTCTTTACTGGGCAAATCACAGGTCTCTGTTTCTTTGGAGTTGGTTACTGTATAACTATTGTGTTCCTTTGGGGATGTTGTTTCTTTGAGTTTTCATGTTCCTTGAAGTTTTGTATTGCCGTCTTGATATTTGAAAAAGCTGTCAATCCCTTCAGTCTTTACTGACTGGCTTTGGGAGAGAAATAGCTCTGCTAGGGATTCTGAGGCTTTCTCAGAACTTTCTTATTGATACACCTGCTCCACACTTCTTATTCCCTTTGTGGGGGAATTCCTAAGACTGTATGCCTTCTCTTAGTCCTGCAGAGCCAGCCTAGGTGCTGACAGCCTCCTGTGGCTTTCCTTAGGGTAGTGCTGAATGCTGAAGTTGTGTCCTTTCTCCAAATTTTGCAATTATACCAGCTTTCTTCAAAGGCTTGCAGGCAATGCCCTCAGATGGTGTGCAGATGGAACTGACCACAGGGTGGCGCTGTGTGTAGGTGAGGCACGTGGAGTGTTTGTTGTGTCTGGGTACTCTGTAGGTGAGGTATCCCCAGTGGCTCATGTGCAGGTTTCCTGATGGAGTCTGAAGTGGTCAGTAGGATCTGCATGCTCTTGATGTAGTCCAAGAGCCCTGGATTCTGTTCTCTCAGCCCTCCCAATCCCCCTAGTCATATAGTGCAGCTCAGTTTTCTGGATGGGAAACTGCTCACTCCAATGCATTCACTTTGTCCCGTAGGAGGAATGATGGGCCAAGAGGTCTCTCTTGGCACTGAGCTGTGCCCCTGGACGAGTGGTGATGTGGATAAAGTGAAACTTACAGTTATTCTCTTCAGAGTGTCCAATCTTGGATTTATTTTTATTTATATTTTTGCTCTATTGTGCTAGAACTTCCCTGCTATTGTGCTAGAATTTAGATAGTCCCTCCCAGACTTCCACAGAGACGCTCTTGTCTGCAGGTGATTTTCAAAGGCAGTGTTCTTTGGAGGGAAGAAAGTAAAAAAAAAAAAGCCCTCATATTCAGCTATGTTTGATCATCAACTTGTGTTCTAATATTTACCCCGGAACTTCTAATGTGCTATGTTCCCAGAACTGTAAGCAAACAAGATAACGTATAGTTTTACATTTTTCTGAACAAACTTTTTGGAAAAACCTCCAGAACTGGGAAAGAGTCAGGAGGATAGTTCCTTTGTTCCATTCGGTGCTATGAATGCCTAGTTTGGTGTCTGGTGTATAGAACATTCAATAATGTTTTTTGCCAAAGGACCAGTGTAAGAAACTTAGAAAATCCTAGCATTTAATAGTGAACCTCTGCATAATTCCATTTTCAAATAATCACTTATGCATAGTCAACAAATATTCTTAATTGATTTACAGATATTAAAATGTATTAGTCCATACAAACAATAGTTGAATTGTCCCCATCAGAGGACAATTACCAGTACAGTACACATTGGTAGAATAATTAAAGGAACTGGTGTTGGGAAAGTGCTGTAAATGTTACAGGGAGGATCTTCAAGTGAAGAAGTCTGTTCTTGCCTAGTGAAGGCTGTTGGCCTTTATCATTCTAGGCCACAGGGTGTCACTTCAGCATAAGATTTTAAAAGTCCCTTAACTTACAGGAACTTGGCTATTAGCCATAGGGTTGGTTCTGTGTAACATTAAAAATAGTTTTATCCGAAGTATGAATAAATAAATGCAATATAGACAGCAAACTGTGTTCACTGAAAATTGTGTCCCATAGTCCACCCAAAATAAATCCAAAAGCTCCTTGAATTGAAGAAGTCTTCAGTTTTCATGGAAATGGCAAAAAGCAAGATCATGCCTCCTCTGCCAGCCTGCCAGTCACCAACAAACAAATGGAGTTAGCATTTGTTTGGGAACACTCTACTTTCAGCCACAACTGACTGACTGTATTCATTTGTGAGGTGTACTGTAGTGTTAACCCCTTCGTGAGACTGTTGGAACACACTGATTAAAACGTGAACAGTTACAATGGAAACAAAGCTGAGCCAGCCACACCACTGATGACTTGTGGCTTCTCGTGAATGTACTGGTTTCTCTAGAGGGGTTTTTTTTCTCTGGAGAGCCACTCCTCTGTTATCAGCAAAGTGCTTTACACTATTGCTTCCTCAAAAAGCATTCTACATGCCAAACTAGTTTCATTTCCCTGAAGGGGTCCATCTGGATGATCCCGTGTTAGTTAAGTTCACAAATTCCAAGCAACTCATTTATGGGGCATCCAGGTGATGTACAGTATTCCCGGATTCCTCCAGGGGACGCAGCTATTGTCTGTGCTGACAGACACCCTGCCTTACCGTGGGTGGTGCATGGATGCAGTAAATCAAAATTCAAGGCCATGCTTTGAGCTCTTACTACAAATATGTTGTCAGAAAAAAAAAAATCTAGAAGGGACAGGACAGGCAGCAGGGAAAGAGATATAGTGACTGTCCATCCGCATGTGGGTGGATCTAGCTGGACTCCTTTCTTTGGGCCCTGACTGAATGAGAGATTCAAGCATGCGTGCTGTTTGTCTGAGGCTGGAAGAGAAGGGCAGAGCTGTACCTGGGATTTGTACCTTGATTTTTAAAAACCTTTTCCTTTTGAAGCAATGAAACCTGCTAGAAAATATCCATCCAGACTTTGAGCTGAACACACCTGAACCTAAGAGCAGTGAGAAGGAAGAGATGGTGGCTCCTTCCTGCTTTGTTTTTATTACAGAAAGGCTGCATATTTGCCCTTTCTTTTCCAAGTGCTGTGGAGTGGGAATGTGCACTATAGTGAGATTTTCAGCTTAGTGCAGCCAATCGAGGTCATCATTTAGACGTGATCATTTTGTGTATCTCTCCTGTATTGTTAATTTACTCTTGCTCTTGAGTCATCCTTTTCTTTCAGTTCGGTATTTATTAACTCTCTCATTTTGCTGCTTCCTTTTTTTTTCCTTCAATGGAAAATAATCTAAATTGACATTTAAGCCTAGGTGATTCATTTTTCTTAAAAATTTATCTTCTATTTTGCCACAGAGTATAAGCTGCTTTAACACTGAGTATTCTTTACTTTGCATAATTTTAACAGCATTATTCTTTTTCTTTCCCTTGTGTCCTCTTGAAGTTAATGACTGATATTTCCTATTATGGCTCTATTTCTAAAAATTAAAATGTTTGCAATTCCTCTCAAAAGTATATTAGCAGATCTTAAAATGCTAAATTGTATTAATTTCCATTTAATATTTATGTAATAGTTATTCAAGTCTCTAAAGTTTTTGATGTCCCTCTAGGTCTACTCTCCTTCTCTGTAAAGACAATTAGAATAAATTCTTATGTATTTTATTGAGATCCTCTTTTTGGATATAAGTTATCTTATATCTTATTTTGTAGGAGCTTGGATGTTCTGCAGTATTCATGCATCCATTCAGTGAATGCCTTCTGAGTGTCCACCATGTACCAGGCACTTTCCTGGGTGTTAGATAGTCTAGTGGACAAAACAGGCAAGATGCCTGCCCTCACTGGAGCTTACCTTCTAGTGGGGGGCACAGATGGTGCACAAAGAAAGTTAAGACATGTACTGTGTCATACTGTGCTAAAGGTTGGGAAAATTAGGCAGGGAAGGGGGTTAAGAAGATGTGGGGTTTGTAATGAGATTTGAGGTTGGTTGACCATAGGAAACCATACTGCGGATACATGGGGCAAGGATGTAGAAGGGCAGCAGGTGCAGAGGCCTGGAGGTGAGTATGGGCCTGGGTTGTTTGAAGAGCTTCAGGAGACCAGGTAGAACCAGAGTGGAGGAAGAGAACCGTGCTCTTAGCTTCTTCACTCTATGCCCTCCAGATAATAACATTCAAACATTCACTGCGTGAATTAATGAAATGGGATTCTAGAACTTTCAGAGGGAAAATCATTAGTGTCCAGCAGGGCATGTGAGGAGAGGGGCAAAGCCAGATGACGTCCCAGCTACGTGTGTGTGTAGCCTCTAAGTGAGTGGCGGAGAAGAGAGAGTGGTTTGAGTGGGGAGGAACAGAACTGAGTGGGTCTTGTGATCGGCAGCCAGCAATGCAAATTCGCTGCTGAGGAGAGCTCAGAGAGAGCTGGGAGGTGACAGCTGAGGAAGGCATGGGAGAGATGAGATTGGACAGGGTCCCAGAGTGGGAACGCAGAAAGAGGTATGGATTCCTCTACAGGCAAGACCTCAGGCCTTGGTGATGGAGGAGAGGTGGACTGTAAGGAGAAGTGGGTGTCCAGCCTGATGCTCCTGCTCTACTGACAATGGTGGGGCCCGTGACGAGATCGGGAGGTCTTGGATCGGCTGGGGACATGCTTGCAGTGAAAGCATTGTAGGAGCTGAATTGAAAAGAGTCTGTTTAAACCTCGTGAGCAGAAGCGCTCAAAATTACTGAGCTAGCTAGGAAGAGCCAAGCAAGACGAGGCCGCCCTCCGTGAGGAGCTGAAGCCCCAGCGTCACCAGCAGGTGGCGCGCTCCGCAGGGGGATCCGGCGAGCTCCCACGGGGCCCTCAGCCTGGAAACCTCAGCCGCAGCCCTGGGAGTGTTTTTGGTGCCAACAGTTACCGCGTTTGGTTGGAGTGAGCCTGTACCTCGCTAAGCAGAAATGTTCCTAAATGTTACAGATCTCATCAAAAGGCACACCTGTTCCCCTGTGTCCTCTTTCGAGCTTCAGTAGACTTAGTGCTTTGATGCTTGCGTTGTTCTTAAACAATGTGCCAAATGTTAAGTTGTTAGTAACAAGTAGATAGCAAGTTTCACTGGCTGCTCCTCAAGGTTACATGTTAAATGGTGAAAAGAGGACAAGGTAAACTTGAGATAAAAGCAATGTGTGTGTGGTTTAATGTGCTATGCTTGCCTTTAGACATAGCAGGTGATAGTTATGCGAAGTGGAAACAGTCAAAATTGGAAGACGGTGATGCTCCAGAATCCCTTTCCTTGGTGACAGAAGAACCAGGCTTGGCAGGTAACCTCATGGGCCCAGGCAGCTGCTGAAGCAAGAGCGTGACAAATGTGTAAGCACTTACCAAAAAGAATTGCAAGAGAGTTACAGTTGTAAGATCATAGTAGCTGCAGAACCCTAAAAACTAAACATTTCGTCCTTTCAGAGACAAGTAAATTGTTACACAAATTATAGATAAAAGCAGGCACCATCTCCTTCTAACAGTTCGATTTCTGTCCCTTAGCTCTTCTGTGGCAATTTTCAGGGCCTAAGCATTCTTAAACATATAGGTTTCTACCTTAGTTGACAGTTAGTAACTAAACTTTTGTGTTAGAATCATTCACTCCAGACCAATACAGGAGACTGATCTGAAATAAGTGCATGAGGGGCTGCTTTCTGATGAGTGATGCCCCTGTAGCTTTGAAGCCCAGAGGTACTAGCGGGCATTGACTAAGAGCCACTTGACCTGGGTTCCAATTCTGGAGCTGTTGGTACACCAGCTCACACAGGTTATTAGATCTCTCTGCTAAATGTGCACAAGAACAGTGCCTACCTACTTCACGAGGGCTTTGTGAGGATTAAATGAGTTGATATATGTAAATCCTATAGAATGGTACCAGACCCCTCAGGAGCCCTCATAAAACATCTGGACCCAGAAGGTGGTGTGCCGGCATTCGCCCATAGAAATGCCCTACCCATCACCTTCCCCATAAAACCTCTTAAAACGGCTCAGCCCACTTCTTAAACCTAGTATCAGTTGCTTCAGTTAAAAGTGCTGGGGAAGTTTGGATGACATGAGCACTTGCCAGAGAGTGAGGTTTTTATGGGAAACAGCCTGAGGACTCTTGGCTCTAGCCAGCCTCGTCCCCCATGGCCGGGGTCAGCCGCATGGCAGTCATGCCCAGGCAGCCAGAGGGGCTTCCATGGTTCATATTTGTGTTTTTGTGCTCTGGCTGACTGTCCATCCTCTGGGGAGCTGAAGGACTGGGTGCTGTGACTTCGAGCACTTTGTTAGTTTTATTTTATATTCTCTTCTTATTGCTCAGAAGGCATTTCTACTCCATCTCTAGCCGTTGTGCCAGAGAACTCAAATGCTTCTGCTGTTGTTACAACCTTTGAAAACTTCACAAGAGAACTGAAAAGAAAATACGAGGTAAAAATGCCCCCAAAAATGAAAAGCTATCTCATCATGCCTGTCAAGTGATAAGTTCCTATTATTTGTCAGTACCATTATTATCCTGCTTGTGTGAAGTCTGTTGGGAGGTACATTTCCTTAGCTGTGGTCACTGATTTCGGTGCCTTTGTGATGTGTGGTTTACCTATTTCATTTGCTGCAGTGGGACCGGATGGGCCTGTATGGGGATCAGACTCTCTGTTTTGGTTCGTCGGTGGCGTTCTCCGACTGAACTGCCGGGAGGCAATGATTTGGTCACAGTGACAGAAAAGGAGGAGGCGGGAGAGGGAACTATGTGGATAAGGAGGTGTCTGGGAAAAGATGCAGGTAGGCAGTGGGTGGGCGGTCAGAGGAGTGTGGCAAATCTTTGTACATTGCCCCAGAACCTTGTCTGCAAGATGAGCTTTGGAAAAATTTCAGTCCTTTCTTTTTCTTTTTCGCTATTGTTTATAAATCCCTAATGAGTTGACACTTGACAAAAGTGTCTTACCCTAACTTGCATTCATTTAACTAACCTGGAAGATCTCCAAAATCTTATTTTCTGCAATATCAATGTAAGCTAATTTATAATGGGCTGTTATTTCAGTATGTATATTGAGAGCCTGAATATGAGTTCTGCTGCTTAGCTTATCTTTATTGTATAGGAAGGTAATTAACATGGTGCCTGATCACAGTTCTTTAGCAGTAACGTTTCTATGAATATTATGTGCTGGTGGCATCTTTTTAATGTAAAGCCTGAGCTCAATTTATGTGGTTTTGATTAACCCAAATGTGATCATTGTGATTTTGTTGTTATGATTTAGCTTAGGTACAGAAGGAGTACACTTTATTCAAAACGTGCAGAGCAAGCCCCGGATTGCCTAATAAAACTTTTAAACCAGATACATCAGTGCAAGTAAGTGTTTGGTTTCAAAACAAGTTCCTAAGTATGATTGTTCACAAACAGCATTGATGGAATCTTGAGTTGAGAGTTGAGCAGATGTGAGGTTTGATATGTGCTTACCACTTCCAGAGTTCGGGTTCTTCGATGAGGGGTTGAACTAAAGCGCCCCTTAAGCCTCTTCATGGTCGGCCACTATACAATCCCAAAATACTATACTGTCCTTGAAAATTCATAGTCCAGTTGTGCAAGCAAGGTAAGCAGCCCAGATATATATGTAAGAAATGCTAGGTCAATGATACGTGGTATAATCACGCAGTAGGATATTACTCAGCCTTGAAAAGGAATGAAATTCTGACACATGCTAGAACTTAGATGAACTGTGAGGACATTATGCTCAGTGAAAAAAGCCAGACATAAAAGGATAGTATTATATGATTCCACTCATAAGAAATATCTATCATAGGCAAATTCATAGAGATGGAAGGCAGAATAGAGGTTACCAAGGGTTGGGGGAATGGGAAATGGGAAGTTAGTGTTTAATTACTATGAAGTCTGTTTGGGATGAAGGAAAATTACGGAAATGGATAGTAATGGTAGTTGTCCAACATTATGAATGTATTTAAGACCACTGAAATGTGCACTTATTAATGGTTTAAAGGGTATATATTATGTTATGTATATTTTTCCACAATAAAAAAGACCACACATTCATGTGCACAGATGCACAACTGTGCAAATGCACACACTCCTGTGACCGTATGGCAAGAAACACAAAGGTGCCAAGATTTCAGAGAGATGTGAAAGGTGGGAAAGAATAATGGAGAGATGGATTTCTGTAGTGATTCGAGTTAATCCAGAGCCATTACAGTGGAAGCGCTTCTGGAGGGAGCTTTGGGAAACAGACTTGAATGGTATAGGGAGGGCAGGTACAGGGACGGTTCCTTGTTGGAGAGAATGGCCTGTCAGTGAAGGAGGGAGAAAAAGCTATAGCAGATCAGTTCGCTTAATTGAAGTAGAAAGTTTCTTTGGGAAGAATATAAATATGAATAGGAATGTATTTCCTTTCAAACTTTCATCCATGCAATGTTGCAATGTCATTTGATTCTCAAAACAGGCCTACAAAGGACTTTGGACTTGTGCAACTGTTGTCTTTTAGGGGGCATACATTCATCCATGTTTTCATTTAGCAAAAGCACACTGAGGGGCACTGGGGCCTGGCCCCGTGCTGAGTGCAGGAGAGCCGTGAGAATGAGCGTTAGGAGCTTTCTTGCCAGCGGGCAACTTTCAGCCTAACCTGGGAGGCAGAGCTGAGCAAGCAAACAAATACACAGTTTTTATGGTGGTTAGAACAGCGGTGGTAGAAATTGCAGAACTAAAATGTAGAGGTGGAAAAGAGCTTATTAGCCAGTGGCAGCTTTAGGGGTGGGTTATGGCAGGAGAAAGGGGAGCAAGTGGAAGGAGGAAGAAGCAGTAGAGCCGTGGTGATGACACATCGGCTTCTTGCCCAGTTGTGGCCTCCACCTCCTTTTCCCAGGAGTCATCTCTCTTTTGCCCTGCTAAGTATGATTTTGAAATACCAGCTTCCCCTGGGCTTCTGTTGAAAGCTTAAATCAAAGTTTGCACAGTTAAGTTTCTGGGGGTGAGGATGGGCCAGCAGTAACGGGATGGAAAAGAGACATGTGTTCTCAAAACAGGAGCTGTTTAGAGAAGCATATCAAGTATTCTTGCAATAAGCAGATTCATTACGAGTGTCCTTTGTCACATCCAAGCAGTTCCAGTGAAATTTGTTGCTTTTACTTTTATCAGACTGAATAAACTAGAGCAGTTTCACAGTTTCGTTCTTCAAGAGCTTAATAATCTTGAGCAGGACATTCAGGCTCTGAAACACCTTGAGGAGGATGTTCTGGTAAGTTCTTTTGATTTGGAACATTTTCTACTACTTAAGAGGATCTGTTCCAGCATAGAATAACTGCTAACTACTTAAACAAACCTTTTGTTCAATTTTAGGAATTTTGGGGGAAACAGTCTGATGATCTGAAATCATTCTGTGATCTGCAAGTGCTGAGGTATTTTTTAAAATATTCTTTCTAGAAACATCTTAGTTGATGTATGAGGTAATGCTTTAGCTGGAATGTAGGTGGTTGACATTGGTAAAACTTCATATAAGTGGCTAACTAGCTGCATCTTTTCAACCAGCCACTTCTGTGGCACTCTGAGGATATAGAGAGTGGCTCAGGATATCAATCTAGAATATAAATTTTGGAAAGCATAAACAGGATCATTCAAACTTTAGTGGTTTTGCTCCAAATTGTTTTATTTTGAAGCAATTTTTTTAAAAGTTAGAATGAGTAGATTTTGAGAATAATATTTAATTTCTGAGTAAACAATCGATTTTCAGTTATATATTGCATTGTAGTCTTGATACAATGTGCTCTAATATCCTACATATGTATATATATGGATATTTAACAACAACTGGGCTTATCCTGGTACACGTCCCTTTCTCTGAAATTACTCAGCGTATATCCTGAGGCCACTGCTTCCTACCCATTTGGAAGACCCCTCCATTCTCTAGATGCAGGGAGTGGGGAGATGACAATATGGCCCTTCACTGCTCTGCTTCTGTGCTGGGAGAAATTCTACTGTTTTCTTCCTGTCTGAACAATCAACAGGAGTCCCTATGTACAGTTGTAACTAAGGCTTTACCTGCCAGTAGAGAATTGGCTTCTGTCACAGAAATTGAAGTCAAACAGTTTAGGAAGAACATTATTCTGATCACACCATATATTTTGAACAACAAGGGAACTTTAAAATATTGAGTTGTCCATCCTTCTGTTACTACAGTTAGTTCATTAATAATAATGACAGTATGGACTATAGGTTTTCAAAATTCTTTCACACACAGTCTCCACCCATATACCATTATATGTGATTGAAGCGGATATCCTTTTAAAACCTTTTTACTACTGAAAACCTTTTAAACCTTTGGTTGTGAATGGTTCTCAAATTTCTTGATTTCAGGACTTCCTAATACCTTTAAATGCATTGAGGATCCTCAAAGAGCTTTTGCTTTATGGGTTAGATCTATGGGTATTTTCCTTGTTAAAAACTGAGACTGAAAATTTAAAAATATTTATTTAAAAATAATAGAAATAAACCTTTAAATATAGATACAAATAATAGATTTTTTATGAAAGACACCCAGATTTTTCAAAACAAGAAAAACATGAGAAGAGTAGCATCATTTTATGTTTTTGCAAATCTCTTTAATGTCTGGCTTAATAAAAGATACCTACCTTCTCATTTCTGCTTCTGAATTCAATGCCTTGTGATACCATATATCAGGTAGCCTCTGGGAAACTCCACGACATGCTTGTGGGAGAGGAAGAACGAAAACAGCAAATAGTGTCAGCATTATTACCCTATTTAACAAAATAGTTTTGACCTCATAGAATCTTTGGAAATTTAGTTTTCTTAGCGATCCCCAAGGAAAGGTATCCCTTAAGGGGGGGTGTCCCAAAGGTTCACACTTTGAGAACTGCTGATATAAAGCAATGTTATAGTAAGCATGAGAGAGGATTATATCCCCTTAACTTCTGGAACCTGGAGAATTCACTTATTTTGTTTAAACCCAAGATTTTAGACAACTGTCTCTTCAGTGATTTGTTACACAGATTACACTGTAGCATGTTAGTTACCATTTGCATCCGTCTCCCTTGATAACATGTGCCTGTGTAAATTTACAGTACCTCAGAGAACAAAAACAGCTTCTAGATAAACATCTCTCAGGGCTTGGCATTTGCTCTCCTGTACTGCAGACACCTAAGGAGACCACCCTGTGGCTTGCCGATGGGGTAATGGCGGTCCTCTCAGCTCACACTGGGGGCTCACCGTGTACTGGGGTCTGGGCTAAGAGCGAGGGGTGCCCATGGGACTTAGACTGATTTGCTTGGTCGAGATTCAGTGTCCGGATCTGGTTGGTATACAGTGTCTCTCCTTCTGTCACATTTGCAGGTCAGTGAGGCTTTACCTGTTTTTCTAGGGGATAAGGACATCCCTCAGACTAGATTTCATCTCCTGCACAGTGCTGCAAGGAGACAGGGATTCAGTGCTTTGCATGGTGGTCATGAGATGCCTCAGCATACGTTGTGGGCTAGTGATTATGACAGAGATAACGGATAAAGTAGAAGCAAATGAAAATATCAGCCTCTTGTGCTGATTTCCTGGAGTGGTCACCAGCCCTCCTTGGCCAACACCCAGTATAGCAATCTATGAAATAACTCTGTGGTATGTGTGGGTACATATATGTATTCTTATTTTTTGATTTCCTAATATGAATATAATGAGATGGACCAATTTTAGGCTTGATCCAATTCAGCCTTCGTGGGGAAAGCCAAAGCCCGCTTTCATTCATCCTGGGGTAGGTACAAAGGGTTGCTGTGTTCTGCTGATGTGAATTGGAGCAGGAGAGGCGGGCGCTTCCCTGACACTGTCCATACCACATCCCTTCCACTGAGCTTCCTCCTTTTTCACAGTATCTCCCATCCTAGAAATTATCCTTTTGGATCTGGGTCATTCTTTTATTCACTAAATATTTATAACTGAGTTATAGCACTGTGCTTTGAGCACCGTGCTAAACAGGGAGAAACAATGGGTAACACACAGGCATGTTCCTACCCGCATTACAAATAAAGGCCTGGAGCAAAGACAGAAGAGAGATAAAATAATCTCAAGTTTACTAAGTGCTTTGATGAATACAAACAAGGTGCTTTTGGCAGAGAGCCATGGTGTGAAGTATTAACTCATATAGGATGAGGCCTCTCTGAGAAAATGGCATTTAGGATGAGGTTTCAGGATGGGAGGAATTGGACATCCTTGCATCACACTGGTGTAAGTGGGTAGTCGGATGGAGTTGGGCACATAGCCAACTCTCAGGGAGGTAAGGCCTCACTGACCATGGTGAGGAGTCTGAATTTTGTACCAAGGGTGAAGGCAAATATTGATAGGTTTTGAGCAGAGGTATTGGGGATGAGGGTCATATAATTTGATTTATATTTAAAGAATTTGTTCTAGCTGCCGTGTTGAGAATTGATTAAGTGAACATTATAAGAAGGAAGATCTACTGTAGGACTTGGAGGCGCTGAGAAATGGAGAGATTCCAGATACATTTTGGAGCTGGATCAATAAATCTGTGACAGATGGGAGCCATAGATAAAAGAAGGAGAAATAAGGAAAACTGCTAGGTCTCTGTGTTTAAGCAGTTTGATGCACGGCGCTGCCAACAAGAGAGAGAGGTTGGTCTTGCCGTGGGAGGAAAGTGTGGACCTGGCAGAAGTTCATTTGTTAAACTTTAGCTTTCAGATGTCTATGGACATCCAGGTTTTAATGAGAACCTGTAATAATGAATAATTTTCCAGGAAAATACGATATAACAAAACAGATATAATTTAACAAACAAAGTAGATGGGAAAACTTAGGCAAATATTCACAGAATAGAGAAAGTTGATTAAAAAAATAACTGCCCCATAAACATACCACATAAAATATATGTGAACCAGACTGCATCACTGGTCCTTTGAAGACGGACTTTACAACTTTGTCTATTGACCAAATAGTGCTTTAGTACTATTCCATTACATCGAAGAACAGTGGAAATCCCCATATCTTTTTATGAATCCTGCATTACAATACCAAATCCAGCAAAAATTCACATAGAACCATAAAACAATCTCACTTAAAAACTAAGCCAAAATTCCAAGCAAAATATTGGCAAACATAATTTATAGCAACTTATTAAAGGTATAATATGTCATGGCCAAGTGAGATTTATGCCAGAGGTACAAGATGGTTTGGTATTAGGGAATCTATTAATACATGAATTACTAATAGAAATAGGGAGGAAAATCACTATTTTCCTCCACATATTTCAAGAGACATTTGAAAAAAATTCTACATCTGTTTGAATTTTTATAAAACCGAGTGAAATATTAGTAACTAGGTGTTTTGTAGTATGAAAAGCCAGTCTCATGCTTAATGGAGAAATGCTCTAAATGCTTTACTCCTAAAATCAGGACCAATGGATGAGGAGACTCAGTAACATAACAGTGTCGATTCTCACAAGGGAGAGAGGAGAGAAAAGAAACTGAGACAAGGAAACAAGCTCTCTCCTGACTACTAGGACACTAACCCCACTCTCGAGGGCTCTACACTCACGACCTCATTTAATCCTAATTACTCCCAATTACACTCCACTTCCTGATGCCATCACGTGGTGGGAGGGGGTTCAGCATATGCACCGGAGAGGTGGGGGACACAATGTTCAGTCCATAAGGGGCCGTCAGCGGATTGACAGTCTCAGTGGGTCAGAAGCTGTGGGGTGGTGCACAGGTGACTTAGAAAGGCCAGGAAGGTGTAGCCAGAAAGTGAGATGCCAGGAATCAAGATCTCGGAGGTGGGAGTCTGATGACAACATCTGCAAGGGCTTAGCCGTGGCAAGGCGAGGAAAATGCTCTGGGGGGCGTGGAGGAGCCAGAGGGCCGATCTGGGTCTTTCCAGATGCTGTTGTGGTAACTGAAGGCTGGCAGGGACTGGCGCTGAGTGCACAAGGGGGCAGGGGGCAGGGGCATCACTGAGAGGGATGGCCTAGTGTCAGGAGGGCAGCTTTGACAGGAGGAGGAGCCGCAGTCGGCCATGGGGAGCAAGGAGGGCCCTGAAGTAATAGGACAGCAGGGGGGAGAACACTTGGAATTGAGAGGGGCAACCTCAGCAGTCAGCCACATGTTAGTCCCAAGGAGGAGGAGGGAGATGCTCTCTCCCGAGGAGAGGCCAAGGGTATTAGAGGGTGTGCTGACAGCCAGAGCTGTAGGGGTGGGAGAGGGAGCCATGGGGAGGATGGGGGTTGGGGGCCCGGGAGGCGGGATCCAGCAGCATCGATGGCCATGGCCACAGCTGTCTTTTGGCAGTTGCTGAGGCAGAGAGGGGTTCCAGGCTGGATGGCACTGACTTTGAGAGAGTATTAAGGGAGGATGTTTACAGAATTAGCCCTGTGAGTCCTAGTGCTTCCCTGGAGGGGCCTGCAGCTCACGGGCCCCCATTCCATGAGCCTTCAGGCAGTGTGGTGAGGCCCACCAAGTTAAGTAAATTCGGGCTGTGTAGGCTAGGCACTAACTACTCCACTCTTGGATTTTGTCACTTTAAGGGCAACCCTCTTGCACCATTGGACCCTTTGAATAGTTTTGCTCATTCCTACAGCACTGAACAGTGGGGCTTCTATACAGATGACGACTTGGGATTCTCTTCCATTCAGAGGTCTGAACTAGAGTCCCTAAGTCCACCATATCCAAACACATTTTTATAAAAATACAATTCCATTTGCCTTAAAGAGTACAGTAATTATAATAACAGGTGTGTTTTGTTTCATTTTACTTGAGAGCAAAAGAAGTGGGTGCTTTTTTTAATTTTTTTATTTTGGTATCATTAATCTACAATTACAGAAAGAACATTATGTTTACTAGGTTCCCCCTTCACCAAGTCCCCCCGACATACCCCTTCATAGTCACTGTCCATCTGCGTAGTAAGATGCTGTAAAATCACTACTTGTCTTCTCTGTGTTGCACAGCCCTCCCCGTGTCCCCCATGCACTATACATGTTCATCGTAATGTCCTTTTTCTTTTCCCCGCCCTTATCCCTCCCTTCTGACCCATCGTCCCCAGTCCCTTTCCCTTTGGTAACTGTTAGTCCATTCTTGGGTTCTGTGATTCTGCTGCTGTTTTGTTCCTTCAGTTTTCCTTTGTTCTTATACTCCCCATATGAGTGAAATCATTTGGTACTTGTCCTTCACCGCTTGGCTTATTTCACTGAGCATAATACCCTCTGGCTCCATCCATGTTGTTGCAAATGGTAGGATCTGATTTTTTCTTATGGCTGCGTAATATTTCATTGTGTATATGTACCACATCTTCTTTATTCATCTACTGATGGACATTTAGGTTGTTTCCGTATCTTGGCTATTGTAAACAGTGCAGTGATAAACATAGGGGTGCATCTGTCTTTTTCAAACTGGAGTGCTGCATTCTTAGGGTGAATTCCTACAAGTGGAATTCCTGGGTCAAATGGTATTTCTATTTTGAGCATTCTGAGGAACCTCCATACTGCTTTCCGCAACGGTTGAACTAGTTTACATTCCCACCAGCAGCATAGGAGGGTTCCCCTTTCTCCACAACCTCACCAACATTTGTTGTTGTTTGTCTTTTCAATGATGGTAATCCTTACTGGTGTGAGGTGATATCTCATTGTGGTTTTAATTTGCATTTCTCTGATGATTAGCGATGTGGAGCATCTTTTCATGTGCCTGTTGGCCATCTGGATTTCTTCTTTAGAGAACTGTCTATTCAGCTCCTCTGCCCATTTTTTAATTGGATTATTTGCTTTATTTTTGTTGAGGCATGTGAGCTCTTTATATATTTTGGATGTCAATCCTTTATCGGATCTGTCATTTATAAATATGTTCTCCCATACTGTAGGGTACCTTTTTGTTCTATTTATGGTATCCTTTGCTGTACAGAAGCTTTTTAGCTTGATATAGTCCCACTTGTTCATTTTTGCCTTTGTTTCCCTTGCCCGGGGAGATATGTTCATGAAGAAGTCACTCATGTTTATGTCCATGAGATTTTTGCCTATGTTTTTTTCTAACAGTTTTATGGTTTCATGACTTACATTCAGGTCTTTGATCCATTTGGAGTTTACTTTTGTGTATGGGGTTAGACAGTGATCCAGTTTCATTCTCTTACATGTAGCTGTCCAGTTTTGCCAGCACCATCTGTTGAAGAGACTGTCATTTCCCCATTGTATGTCCATGGCTCCTTTATCTAATATTAATTGGCCATATATGTTTGGGTCGGTGCTTTTTTTTAAAAACTCCCACAGTGTCCAAAGTTGTGCTTTCTGATTTTTGACCCAGCAATTCCACATCTAGGAAACTATTGTGAAGATGGAATTGTAGTGTGCGAGGATATGGCCAACGATCTGTTTTACAGACAAGTATGGTAGGGACATGGCTGGTGCCCAGCCAGAGTTTGGTTAAATAGATTGATACATTCATATAATATGCCATATAGCCATTAGAAAGAATGATTTAGATTATATTAATTGACTGGGGAAGATACTTAAAAGTAAATAAAAAGTAACAGCTTGTTACAAAGCAGCATGTATGACATGATCCCGCTTGTTTTAAGTGTTAGATGAGGATGTGTATGTTCTTTCACTCAATGAACTGTTGACTCTGTCAGGTGCCAGGTACTGTCTTAGATGCTGAGGGTAGAACATGCCCAAGAGGTCTTTGACCTCATAGAGGGTACATTTCAGTGGGATAGATGATGGAAAAGAAGCAGAGGTGAATTCATGATGGTGGTAACGAGAGTGAAGAGAGACTCCTAGTGTGAAAGGAGGAGTTAAGCTGAGCCACAGGAAGGGACATGGGAGCTAGAACTCAGGTGAGATGGCCAGCACCGGGGAGAGCAGGGAAGGGCATTTGAACGGGAATGGCCAAGACACATGTCTGAGGCCACCGTCAGGTCGGTGTGTTCTAGGGATTGAGTGAGGGCCAAACAAAGAAGTACGGGCGGAGTGGTGTATGATGAGCTTGGGGGTGGGCGTCACGTAGGACCTTCCCGGCCATGGCAAGGAAATCGGGTTTTATTCCCATAAAGGGGTCATATAAAGGACTGCCCTGCACAGCCTCTGTGTGTTTTAGGATGGGGAGCAGGGTGGTGGGGATGAGCTGGCAGGGCTCCTGGCAGATTAGATGCGGGGGAGAGGAAAGGCTTAAGGGCAATATCTAGATTTGGGGCTTGAGCAGCGTGTGGAAGTGGTGCCATTTCGGGAGCCCGCGCAGATTGGGTGAGATCAGGTTGCATTGGGAGGGAGGGGCAGGATGTGTGTGGAGATTAAAAGCTGGGCTTGGAATGTATGTTGATTTGTGATTTCCCCATCCGAATGGAGTTGTCAGGTGAGGAACTGGATGTTTGAGACAGAAAATCATGGTAGAGGGCTGAGCGCAAGGCTGGCTGAGGTGACTTGGGACTAAGTATGGAGAGAAGTCCCAGGACAAATGCTCGGTGGCTCCAGTGTGTTGAAGCTGGGTGAGGGGATAAAGCCAGCAGAAGAGGGTGAGAAAGAGAGCCCAGAAGAGGTGGTGATACAGAAGATGGGAGTCTGTGCATATATACATATGTGTACACATCGTGAGAGGCCTAGATTCTAGAAGGCATCCATCAAAATGTCCACAGTGGGTGTTTCTGAGTGGTGACATTTTAGGTGAATTTACTGTCTATCTTAGGCTCTTCTGTGGTTTTTCAAATTACCCCAAGATGTGAATTATTTCTGTGTCATAAATTCAGAAAGTGTAACTTTTATAAAGAGTTATTTTTTCCCATTCTCTCTAACCTTTCTTCCTACCTATGATCCAGAGATAACTATCTCTTTGCAGTCTGGTGTATGTTCTTCCTACACATTTTTGTCTGCGCTTATAGAAGAATGTGTACAAATATGTCTTTACACATAGGTATATTTTTGATATAAATGATATACCAAATATTATGTTATTGTTTCTGGGAAAAAAAGACTAATCTAGGCTAAGAATATTAGACTAATTCCCAGTCCTAATGGAGCATTGGATCAAATGTGGGCCAAATAGGGGTTTTATTCCCCCACTGTAAGCAGCAGCCCCCGGTAGTGGGGGGAGGGGATTACCCAGGGCTGGTGGCTCAGGAATCTTACGTAGTTATTAGGGACCCAGCTTCTTTCAGTTTCCTGCTCTACCATCCTTCATATGGCTTTTAGCTTTAGTCACAGAATACCTGCTGTACCTCTAGGCAGCTCTTCTGTACTCCGGGCAGGAAGAAGGGGTGGGGAAAAGGTAAATCGTGTGTGCCAGAAGGACCTTTCTCCCTTCCCTACTTCTTTTTTTCTAAATTAGGGAAACAATTTTTCCACTGATGCCTAAGCTAGCAGATATTTGTCTCCATTTACTGGCCCAGACTGGGTCACCTGGGCCTCCCTTGTTGGGAACAAATCGGGAGAGGTGAGAATTTAACTGTTACTGTCCTCCCAAAAAGTGAGGTTCTGCAAATAAGGAAGAAGGGGAGAGTAGACACTCAGTAGCTATCTAGTAACGTCTGTCAGGCCTCAATCAAGTTACATGTGCTGAACACAGAGAACATTGGAGAAAGAATTTAAACCACACCAGTGATTTTGCCTGCATTCTTGTCAGTAAGCGTGCGTCCTAGTCTGTGCATAGAACAGTCTGTTCTGTCATTGATATCAGCTCCTGTCTACCTCTTGTTTTATGAATGCTGAATTGGGTTCCATGCCAGTTGGTTATTAACAATACGTATTTTCACATGGCTTGGCCCCAAAAGTCAGCGCAGGCCCTTCATCTGGTGCTCCAACCAAGAAACAGCTGCCTTTTCTCTTAACACCGGAGGAAAAAATAACCAAGTGTGTTGGTCTGTTGAGAGGCTGCACGTACATCTTCAAAGTGGCACATGTATGAGTTTTTTGACCCTGATTTTGACTCCAGCCTGTGTCCACCCAGTGCACTGACTAGCTTCCAGCAGTTACATGAGGTGATGTCTGAGTTGGGGACAGAGACATTGTCATAAAGGCTGACATTCCTTTTGGCTCACTGAGTTCTGAGGGACCAGAAGGGGATAGTCTGGGCTCACCTAACTGCTCTTTTCTTTCCCTTCCCTCCAGCCTGAGTCTCCTGGAGAAGACGCAGCTGTCCCCGGACCCAGAGGCCCTGCTTTAGCCCTGTGCACGCCTTCGATTTGCTCCGCTCCTCCCGGGAGCCTGGAGAGCTGCCGCGTTAGAATAGAACAGACCGTGTTGTTAGTTTGTGTTACTGTCCATTTGTTCATAGAAGTTATCCTTTGTATTAAAATTTGGTCAGAAAATAGGATGTTCAGGATGTTTATCAACTTGCTTTTTTTTAAAAAAAATGCTTTTAGAAGTAAATTTGATTTGTGAGGTGTATCTTCAAGTTTTGTGGGAAGAAAAACTTAGCAGCTTCTGTATATATGCTATTCAGTGTGTCTTTTTGAGGGAGAATTTAATTTGTGAGGAAAATAGCTCAAGGAAAATGGTGTCGTATTTTGAAATAGTTATTATTTAATTGATTTGCAAACATCCTAGTTTCTCTAGCACTTTAACAAAACTTCCGGCTTTAGCAGAAGAGAACTATGCCTCGTGTTATAATTACTAAATGCTCCAATAAAGCCTCAGTGCATGAAGTTATGTATGCAGTTGAATGTTTGAATTTATTTTAAAGAAATAAGATCTACATGATTTAAAGCCATCTACAAAGTAATTTTTTTCAGGATTGGATAAGTACAAAGATTATAGACTGAAAATAGGTTTTCATGATATAACTTAGTGATTGATATAATGTAGCTTATTATTTGTAGTTAAGTCTGCCAAAACAAATGTTTACAACCCCAATTTCTTTCTCTTTTTATAATTTTTTAATGGGTTATGTTTTAATATATTCATTTTAAAAATTTTTATTGAAGTGTAGTTGATGTACTATATTCGTTTCAGGTGCACAACATACTGATTTCAACAAATATATACATTAGAAAATGCTCACCATGAGATAGTTACCTTCTGTCCCTGTACAAAGTTATCACAGTATTATTGACTATATTCCCTGTGCTTACTTTTCATCCTTGTAACTTATTATAACTGGAAGTTTGTTGTTTCTATTTCACCCATCCTTCCACCCTCTCCCCTATGGCAACCACCAGTTGTTCTCCATACTAATCTGTTTCTGAGTTTTTGTTTTGTTTTTGTTCCTTTTTGTTTGTTTTTTAGATTCTATATATAAGTGAAATCATACAGTGTCTGACTTATTTTATTTAGTATAATACCCTTTAGTCTATACATGTCGTCAAAAATGGCAAGAGTTCATTCATTTTTAAGGAGGAGTGATATTCCACTGTATATTTGTAGCACATCTTCTTTATCCACCCATCTATAGATGGATACTTAGGTTGCTTCGATATTTCGGCTGTTGTAAATGCGGCAATAAACATAGGGGTACATGTGTCTTTTCAAATTAGTGACTTTGTTTTCTTTGGATAAATACCCAGGAGTGGAATTGCTGGGCCATGTGGTATTTCTGTTTTTAATTTTTCGGGGAACCTTCATACTCCTTTCCCTAATGGCTGCATCAGTTTACATTCCCATCAACAGTGCACAAGGGTCTCTTTTCTCCATGTCCTTGTCAACGTTTGTTATTTCTTGCCTTGTTGATGTTAGCCATTCTGAGTTGTGTGAGTTAATATCTCATCATGGTTTGACTTGCATTTCCCTAATGATTAGCGATGTTGAGCATCTTTGTGTGTCTGCTGGCCATCTGTATGTCTTTTTTGAAAAAATGTCTATTCAGCTCTTCTGCCTATTTTAAAATCACATTGTTTCTTTGGTGTTTTGTTGTAAGCTTTCTACAGTAAAAGAGGACTTATTTTTTTGAGTTCAAAGGATCTATTAGTCTCATTTCATTTAGGTATGTCCAATTTAGGGCTTGCAATTTCTGGTGACCTGGAGTTTCATGGATTTTAGTGCCACTACACTGATTATCTTCATTGAAGGACATTAAAGAATATATATGACTTCTGATAACCAGCGAACATATATTTAAGTGCTGTTTTCTCCAAGGCCTTGAGTTAGCTCACAAGGTGGATGTTAATATGTGTGAGATGTGGTCTGAGCTAGTAAGAACTTAATCTAAAGACACCCAGGTAACTGGAAATCTCAAGACTGTGTGTGGCAAGTGCCATAAATGACGTGTGAACTGAGCACTGTCCGAGTTGTGAGGAGAGAGAGGTCGTTTTTCTTGGCTCCCTGGAGGAGAGGTACTATCTGAGATAGATCTGGAAAGACTTAGAGAGGGTTTTTCTAGGGTTAGCAAAGAGGGACTAACATGAACAATGGAACAGAGGCAGGAAGGTGCAGAATTTGTTTGAGGCCAGAATTAGTGGAAACTAAATTAGGCAAGGCCCAAGCTGAAGTGCCTTGACTGGCTTGATCAGAAGGACTTGATTTTGTAGATGAAAAAGAGCCGCTGATGACTTTGTAAGGAACGATAGAATGAACATGGTGGTTTAGGATGATTAATCTGGTAGCAGTATGAAGACTGAATTGAATTTTCCAGAAGGTTATAATGACAATAAAGATGTCCACTGGAAGAGAGGTACTGGGGGTGAGAGGGAAGGGACCTCTGTGATTGCTCATGGCAGGTGCAAGATTTTAAGAGCAAATTTGGAGGAGGGGTTGATGGAAGTTGCAAAAACCATGAGCTTGAGATATTGGGGTGATCTCCTTGCACATATTCCCCCGAAAAGTCTCCAACAGTGTTTGGTTCAGCGACTCTGTATTGAGCCCTCGCTGTGCACCAGGCTCTGTGCTGGCATGGATGTGGTCCACACTGATACCAGCGCTGGCCTCGGAGCCAGCAGAGTGATGGGAACAGACACCCAAAGAAACACGGGAAGCAGGGTGATGAGTGCTGAGCCGGGCTGTGTGGGAGGAGTGAGGGGTGGTGGGACTCAGGGAGAAGGCTGTCCCAGGGCACCTTGGTGAGCTGACCTCGGCCAGTGGCGGGGGTGCAGGTGGCAAGAGCAGAGACTCTCCTTGCCTGACCCTGGTGACTGAGTCCCACTCCTTGGAGACCATGCCCAGCTCTGGATCATTGCTCACCTCCTTTCTGATTCACCCACACAGCCCACTGAACCCCATTACCCAGCAGTGGCCCCAGCCCTAATCATCATTTCCAATATTCCCCTGTGCTCGAACCGTCCATCCTCCGGAGTGGCTCTTCCCAGCACTCATTTCTGACCTCACGTTTCTGCCACACAGGCCTTCTCCTAAGTTTCACCCCTTTGAACATGAGCCAGGGGCCTGGACTACCCTCCTGTCTTCCTGCCCTTCCACCCTCTGAGCTCCTTCCCTGCCTTCCTGGGGCCAGTTCTCTCTAAGGTTCAGGGCTCCACTGGGCTGCCCTCAGTGTGGGCTTTCTTTGAGGCCATAGATGAATGACTATAGGGTGAAGTAGCAGTGGAGCACGTTCTGAGTGTTTCCTGCAGAAAGAAGGCAGACCCCAGGCATGGCTTTCCTGCTGCCCTGCCAAAGGGCAGGTCAGGGGTTGGCCACTGGCTCCTTATCCCCAACCTGCAAATGCAGCCAGACTGCCTCAACTCTTCATTGAGCGTACACACACACACACACACACACACACACCTCACTCACACTCAGGATCACTTGATCTGTCAGCAACTCCTATAGCTGTTCCTTTATGTCCCCAATTCTTAGACATTATTTTCATGTGGCTTCTTTGATTTTTTTTTTCTTTGCATTCAATCTAAAGCCCCCTGTCATTTGCTAATTGCTTCCCATTGGTTCTCTGGGAAGGCTGGCTTTCTCTTTCTCATTTCCTTGTCTTCTTGCAAGCATGGTTGGCTTCCTGAGCCCCAGTGCATTTGCACCTGCCTGCTAGACAAGCCCCACCTGGGAATTGTGTGTGCATCTTAAACTGAATGTCCACAACTGCCTCTCCTCTGCTGCCCCAACCCCATCTCCAGCCCAGCCCGGACCTGCCATGCTGAGCTCATGGAGTCACCATCCACACTGTCTCTAAGCACTCAGCATCCTGGATTTCACTCTTCCTGCCTCAGAGTGTTGCAGTAGCCCCCAATAAAATCCCCTGTCTGATCTGGCCTAGATTTTCCCCAGTTCTTTGCCCCCGCGTCTCCTAGCTCCTCTCTGTTCCCAGTAACTCAAGGCATCTGCCTGCAACACCTGTGTAGCCCAGCCCCCTGCCAAATACTTCTGGTTGCCATGGCTCTCACAGCTGTACAAGTTCAGCTCACCTTCTACCCCTACCAGCTCACCTCCTACCCCTACCTGTGGCAAAACGCTGAAGCCTGCTCTTTACTACTAGGAGTTTCCACAATGTGCTATGACAGTGCTGTCTCTTGTCGCTCCCTATCGCTGCTTCTGCTGGAAAAGTGGAACCGCCCCTCACGCAGTTCTCCCCTAACTGTGCTTCCAGGCCTAGCTCCAGGTCTGTTTCCCAGCCTCCCATCCCAGGAGCCAGTTAACCAGCCCCTCCTCTGGGCCTGCTCAGCAACGTTGCTCAGCGAGATCCCCCTTGGCTCATGGTGTGGTGGGAGCTGGCTTGCGGGTGCATGGCCTCACCTGTTCACCGCTGTGCCTCAGCAGAAATGAAATGACCTGATTAGCAATCTCAGGAGGAGACAGAAGCAAGAGAACCTCCAGGCTCCTTCAGGATCTTAGAAGCCAAAGGACAAGAGAATTTGGAAAATGAGGCTGATAACCTTTTAGTGTGGCAGTGAGGTCAAGAAAGGTAGGAACAAGTCCTGGGGTCTTGGTTGTTTTACCAAGGGGGTGTGTGATGGCCCATTTTATGTGTCCTAGGCTGTGGTGCCCATTTGCTTAACATCAGTGTGGGTGTTGTGTGAAGGTATTTTTTAGATATGATTGACATTTAAATCAGTAGGCTTTGAGTCAGCTGAATACCCTCCATCGCAGGGTTGGGCCTCATCCAGGCAGCTGAAGGCCTTAAGAGCAAAGACTGAGGTTGCCCCGGAAGAAGCAGTTCTGCCTTAAGGTTGCAGCATCGAAACCCTGCCTGAGTTTCCAGCCTATCGGCTAGCCTGACAGCTATCACACTTGCCAGCACCTACATTTGTGTGGGCCAGTTGCTTAAAATAACACCCATTTTACCTCTGA